AACCTGGAGACAGGAGAACCACACAGGAGTCCCCCAAGACGCTCGATAATTATCGCCTTACACCGTAGAATCCTTCCATGTCCCCCACAAGTCATAACAGGAGGCCTAGAATGGTGGTGACGGGTACTGCCCTGAGCCAGAGTGACGGTGTATATAGTGAGCACTATAGCTCCGTCTCCACCACCACCACCACCACCACCACGGGGAGCCGTGCCCGACGCTCCCGCACGACTCCTGCCGGAAGTGGCGGGCTCCTGACAAGGACTGATGGCACCTACTCTGAGGCAGGGCAGGGAGGGGAGAGGCGGTATAAATAATGGCCTTCCACTTGACAAGACAACTATTTACTGTAGTCTGTGTGCTCCAAAGTGTACATATATTCCCACCTGACCTCCCCCCCCCCCCCTCCCACAATTGAAGTCTGACGCTACTAATTGCTCTTACCTCTCAGCTGCTAGGTGACTGAAACCAGGAACAGATAGGGTGATTACTAGAAGAAGGCGCTCAACCAGTGTGACTACATACCACTTGGAACGGGCAGGCTGTCAAGGAGCTGGGATTAGGAGAGGATAGTGCTCTTGGACCATCGGGGGATCGAGCCCCGACCCTGGTAGATACAATGCCTTCCTGCTAGCGGCCAAATGGACGGAACAGATATACTTTACATAAAGTTGGTGTGGTGCTGGCCCGGGATGAATGATGGAGTGAATGGGTTAAACCTCATCTGTTTACTGACCAGCCACAAGGTGTGTGTTGGTCCTTAATATTCACTCAGGACTAGAGGTAAACGGGAGCATGTACACCCAGAAGTGTACATGATGCTCTACATGTACATGGTAGTATATGTACCCCCTGTTCTCTCTCCTCTCTCTCTCTCTCTCTCTCATTTTTCAGAGGGGGAATACATGGGAGTATGGGAGGGGAATGTAGAGGACTGTGGAAGGGGAACGCATAGGAGTATGGGAGAGGAATGCATGGGAGGGATGGTGCGGAATGACGCATTCTTCAACGTCCCAAGGGAAGGGGGGGCGGTGACGACGAGGAAGGGGAGGAAGACGAGGAGAGGGGGCAGAACCCCCCTCTAGTCCCATCTCCAGCCTCAGAAACCGGCAGCGTGTGAAAGATCTTTTGTCGGTGTCTGCGTGTATCGGCCGTTATTATGTCCCGGGGTCGACTCCTCTTCCGTTCGTCTTCCTCTTCCGCCTTGACGCTCCCGCCTTCCCCTTAGCAACACTGCAACTGACCTTCCTCACTGGCAACACTCTGAAGGCATAATTGCATGCAGTGTTGCTAAGCGAAGCTCCCCCCCCTCCCCCCCCCAACAACACGAAAAATACAAAACATGTCTTTTCACACATTGAGATCATCAGCGGCGCGACTAAAGTGTCTGTGACAATGAGGAAAAAAGCCATTATGGTAATTATGTGTTAGAATCTATAGTAGGCATCCGGCTCTGGCCTGGCCTGCCACCACCACCACAATACACACCATCCGGCCAGCCTCCTGGGGGGGGGGGGAAGGTTGTTAAACACTTGGCAATTTCTATATTTAGCTGTTTCAGGTCTGTCTCAAGTTTGGACTGAAAGAGGGTGAAAACTGGCGATGTTTTTAAGGATCCGTGACCTTGGGGAAGGTTGTGTATCACTTGTCAAGAAAAACACTTCCTGGTTCTCCTTTGTATTTTCTTTTCCTTTATTTATATATATATATATATATATATATATATATATATATATATATATATATATATATATATATATATATTTTTAAGATGAATAGGAAAACCAGGGATATACTGAACATCTTGTATCAGAATCTTTACTTTAAAAAACATAACGTTTCGAATACTTCTCGTATTCATCATCAGATCTAAAAGAAAAAACAGAAATCACAATCAAATAACTGGTAAACAAAGAACTCATACTGAATATAATTGCCTATCAAAGAAAGGAAAATGCTTAAAAAACAAAACACTTAAGCGCACTTAAAGTGATCAATACAAATAAAACTTATTAACTGTCACATATATTAAAACTAATTTAAAAGTCCATTAAACTAAAAGATGAATTTTATAACTATTAAAACAAACCATTCTATTAAACTTACGTGAAGTGATCAGAAGTGAAACTTGATACCTATCACAGATACTAAACACTATAACAAATATTTATATAATGACTACAAATCTACAAAAAATGTATGTAAAATACAAACAGAATAAACGACAATTATAAAGTACTAACCAAAATCTTATAAAAAACTCAAATATTAAATAAAATTAAATACCAAAAAATGTATTATATATCCTAAATAAAAGATTATATTAATGTACAATGTTAAGACTTGAAATAAGTAAGAAAGGGCAAAGACATGGTAAACTAAACAAAATTAAACTACCAAAATAAACTAAAAATCAAATTACAGGGCCTACTGTGCACTATACAGTGTACAATTGAACAGCTGAAAGGTTGCTATTTAACAGAGGCCGCAGCTCCTTTATATATAAGGATTCCATTACTCTCAAATCTGACTGGCCATTCATACAAGTGTCCAGAATTTTAAAATCAGATTCCAGCAGAGAATGATCAAACTCATAACAATGGTTTCTAATCTCCGAAAATGCTGGTTTAGACAATGGTAATCCAGTCCTAAAAGATATTCCCCGGTGCTCAAGTATCCTAATCTTAAAGTTCCGAATGGAACTCCCGACATATCCAGCATTACAGCTGGAACAATTATACATATATACGACATTTGAGCACAAGGGGGTAGGCACTTTATCTTTAAATTTAAAATAAGAGCCTATGGTATTTGTGTTGACAAAAATAAATCTAAAGTCTACTTGAGGATAAAAGTGCTGCAACAGTCTCCTCAAACGACTCCTTACAGAAAAGCTAATACTGCCATAAAATGGTAATTTAATATATTTAAGATCCCTTTCCACTGTAGTAATCCTACACGATGGGTGAAACTTCTTATTTAAGAAATTCCTTATAAAAGTATAAACCATATGCACAGGATAACCATTATTTGAAAAAAAATTCACAAGAAAATTAATTTCCTGATCAAAGTTATTCCAATTAGAACATAAAACAAAGGCCCTATTCAGTAGAGTGTTAATTGCATTTTTCTTAAAAATATCAGGAACAAAGGAATTAAAATTTAAACCTAAACCAGTAAAGGTTGGTTTCCTAAAAACATTAGTGTTGAACCCATTGAGGTTATTCACTTTTACATCAAGAAACGACAATGAATTATCAACTTCACACTCTGCAGTAAACCGTATATTACTATGTTGTGCATTAAGATACTCTCTAAATTTCTCAATATGACATTGGTCCCTAAACAACAAAAAAGTGTCATCTACATATCTCCTGTACAAGACTGGTTTAAAGGCCGAAGGACAATTATCAAGCCAATTTATTTCGTGAAAACTCAAAAAAGCATTAGCCAGTGCTGGACCTAAAGGACCTAAATAAGAAGTTTCACTCATCGTGTAGGATTACTACAGTGGAAAGGGATCTTAAATATATTAAATTACCATTTTATGGCAGTATTAGCTTTTCTCTAAGGAGTCGTTTGAGGAGACTGTTGCAGCATTGTTATCCTCAAGTAGACTTTAGATTTATTTTGGTCAACACAAATACCATAGGCTCTTATTTTAAATTTAAAGATAAAGTGCCTACCCCCTTGTGCTCAAATGTCGTATATATGTATAATTGTTCCAGCTGTAATGCTGAATATGTCGGGAGTTCCATTCGGAACTTTAAGATTAGGATACTTGAGCACCGGGGATTATCTTTTAGGACTGGATTACCATTGTCTAAACCAGCATTTTCGGAGATTAGAAACCATTGTTATGAGTTTGATCATTCTCTGCTGGAATCTGATTTTAAAATTCTGGACACTTGTATGAATGGCCAGTCAGATTTGAGAGTAATGGAATCCTTATATATAAAGGAGCTGCGGCCTCTGTTAAATAGCAACCTTTCAGCTGTTCAATTGTACACTGTATAGTGCACAGTAGGCCCTGTAATTTGATTTTTAGTTTATTTTGGTAGTTTAATTTTGTTTAGTTTACCATGTCTTTGCCCTTTCTTACTTATTTCAAGTCTTAACATTGTACATTAATATAATCTTTTATTTAGGATATATAATACATTTTTTGGTATTTAATTTTATTTAATATTTGAGTTTTTTATAAGATTTTGGTTAGTACTTTGTAATTGTCGTTTATTCTGTTTGTATTTTACATACATTTTTTGTAGATTTGTAGTCATTATATAAATATTTGTTATAGTGTTTAGTATCTATGTGTTAGGTATCAAGTTTCGCTTCTGATCACTTCACGTAAGTTTAATGGAATGGTTTGTTTTAGTAGTTATAAATTTCATCTTGTAGTTTAATGGATTTTAAATTAGTTTTAATATATGTGACAGTTAATAAGTTTTATTTGTATTGATCACTTTAAGTGCGCTTAAGTGTTTTGTTTTTTAAGCATTTTCCTTTCTTTGATCGGCAATTATATTCAGTATGAGTTCTTTGTTTACCAGCTATTTGATTGTGATTTCTGTTTTTTCTTTTAGATCTGATGATGAATACGAGAAGTATTCGAAACGTTATGTTTTTTAAAGTAAAGATTCTGATACAAGATGTTCAGTATATCCCTGGTTTTCCTATTCATCTTAAAAAAAAAATATATATATTATATATATATATATATATATATATATATATATATATATATATATATATATATATATATATATATATATATATATATATATTGCCAAGCCTGTCGTGCTCGTCAGAGGTTGAACTCTAACCACGATGCATTTTCCTTTCTGGGGTTGTTTAACTCGGGTATAGACGATCCCATTTAGGTAGGGGGAGGACGCCTTCCCTCTCCCTGTCCGGGGCCCAGGAGCTGAGCTGAGACCTTGAAGAGGATAGTAATCCCTATGTATAGTAAGGGCGTTGTTTGTGCCTTATGGTGTCAGGAGGCTGGGCTCTTCCAAACATTTAGATACGAGGTCCACTCTACGACGGGGTAGTGACTCTCACTCCTCAACTCAAGAGGCAGCTCTAGAGGCAGCTCTAGAGGCAGCTCAAGAGTCAGCTCTAGAGGTAGCTTTAGAGGCAGCTCAAGAGGCAGCTCTAGAGGCAGCTCTAGAGGCAGCTCAAGAGGCAGCTCAAGAGGCAGCTCTAGAGGCAGCTCTAGAGGCAGCTCTAGAGGCAGCTCAAGAGGCAGCTCAAGAGGCAGCTCTAGAGGCAGCTCTAGAGGCAGCTCTAGAGGCAGCTCAAGAGGCAGCTCTAGAGGCAGCTCTAGAGGCAGCTCAAGAGGCAGCTCTAGAGGCAGCTCTAGAGGCAGCTCAAGAGGCAGCTCAAGAGGCAGCTCTAGAGGCAGCTCAAGAGGCAGCTCTAGAGGCAGCTCTAGAGGCAGCTCAAGAGGCAGCTCAAGAGGCAGCTCAGGAGGCAGCTCAAGAGGCAGCTCAAGAGGCAGCTCTAGAGGCAGCTCTAGAGGTAGCTCTAGAGGCAGCTCAAGAGGCAGCTCTAGAGGCAGCTCTAGAGGCAGCTCTAGAGGCAGCTCAAGAGGCAGCTCAAGAGGCAGCTCTAGAGGCAGCTCTAGAGGCAGCTCTAGAGGCAGCTCAAGAGGCAGCTCAAGAGGCAGCTCTAGAGGCAGCTCAAGAGGCAGCTCAAGAGGCAGCTCAAGAGGCAGCTCTAGAGGCAGCTCTAGAGGCAGCTCTAGAGGCAGCTCAAGAGGCAGCTCTAGAGGCAGCTCAAGAGGCAGCTCTAGAGGCAGCTCTAGAGGCAGCTCTAGAGGCAGCTCTAGAGGCAGCTCAAGAGGCAGCTCTAGAGGCAGCTCTAGAGGCAGATCTAGAATCAGCTCTAGAGGCAGCTCAAGAGCAGCTCTAGAGGCAGTTCTAGAGGCAGATCTAGAATCAGCTCTAGAGGCAGCTCAAGAGCAGCTCTAGAGGCAGCTCTAGAGGCAGCTCAAGAGACAGCTCAAGAGGCAGCTCAAGAGGCAGCTCAAGAGGCAGCTCAAGAGGCAGCTCAAGAGGCAGCTCAAGAGGCAGCTCTAGAGGCAGCTCAAGAGACAGCTCAAGAGGCAGCTCTAGAGGCAGCTCTAGAGGCAGCTCAAGAGGCAGCTCAAGAGGCAGCTCAAGAGGCAGCTCAAGAGGCAGCTCTAGAGGCAGCTCTAGAGGCAGCTCTAGAGGCAGCTCAAGAGGCAGCTCAAGAGGCAGCTCAAGAGGCAGCTCTGAACCAGCCGCAGACCGTGACGGACCACTAACTACCTCAACAACTTGGAGCCTCACTGTTGAAGAAGGAAAATGTATTGACAATGGAAAGATTAATATTACGTAATCAAACAAAGGTCTAACTAGGACCAGGCTTCTGGTGAGCTTTGGAGTTGTGTATGGGGCAGCGAGGACATCCCTAGTGTGCCAGGGTGTTAGTGTGACGGAACACACAGGAGAGGGTCAGGTAGATAAACGGAGAGAGTGAGAGAAGAGAGAAGAGGGAGAGTAAGAGAGAATAAGAGAAGAGAGAATAAGAGAAGAGAGAGTAAGAGAAGGGAGAGTAAGAGAAGAGAGAATAAGATAAAAAAAAAGAGTAAGAGAGATGTGTGAGACAGACAGTAGAGAGGGAGAGTAACATAGAGAGGAGAGAGAGTGAGAGCGCAGAAAGGATAAGGAAGGAGAGAGAGAGAGAGAAAGGGAAGACGTATCTGAGTAAATGGGAGCTGTCAAGCCTAATGGGAGGAGAAAAGGGCGATATATAAGGTAATGGAGAAAAGGGGTGAGAGGGTGGGAGAGAGGCAGAAATATAGAGGGAGAGGAATGAAGGACTCAAGGAACAACATAACAGTGATTATTCAAGCCCAATCAGTTCCGTGTCGAGGAGGCGCGGGTCCTAGACCCATACGAGGCCTAACAGCTCTCTCAGCCTGCTTCACTACCCCTAAAAATACATGGCCACGTCTACAGATAACCTACAAATGCTTCCATTACGCTCTTGTGCGGTTACGCTAACGTCACAACCATCAGGACTCGTACAACAGCCTGCTGGATCACCTCACGCGCCTCACTGTGTGTGCTATGGTCCCCAGTGTACAAGGATGGGGGGGGGAGCTGTCCCAGACGTCTAGGGTGTTAGTAGCACTCAGTAGATCCCTGTAGCCCTCCCTGTAGCCCTCCCTGTAGCCCTCCCTGTAGCCCTCCCTGTAGCCCTCCCTGTAACCCTCCCTGTAGCCCTCCCTGTAACCCTCCCTGTAGCCCTCCCTGTAGCCCTCCCTGTAGCCCTCCCTGTAGCCCTCCCTGTAACCCTCCCTGTAGCCCTCCCTGTAACCCTCCCTGTAGCCCTCCCTGTAACCCTCCCTGTAATCCCTCCCTGTAGCCCTCCCTGTAGCCCTCCCTGTAACCCTCCCTGTAACCCTCCCTGTAGCCCTCCCTGTAGCCCTCCCTGTAGCCCTCCCTGTAGCCCTCCCTGTAACCCTCCCTGTAGCCCTCCCTGTAGCCCTCCCTGTAACCCTCCCTGTAACCCTCCCTGTAGCCCTCCCTGTAACCCTCCCTGTAGCCCTCCCTGTAGCCCTCCCTGTAGCCCTCCCTGTAGCCCTCCCTGTAACCCTCCCTGTAGCCCTCCCTGTAACCCTCCCTGTAGCCCTCCCTGTAATCCTCCCTGCCCTCCCTGTAGCCCTCCCTGTAGCCCTCCCTGTAACCCTCCCTGTAGCCCTCCCTGTAACCCTCCCTGTAACCCTCCCTGTAACCCTCCCTGTAGCCCTCCCTGTAACCCCTGTAACCCTCCCTGTAGCCCTCCCTGTAGCCCTCCCTGTAACCCTCCCTGTAGCCCTCCCTGTAGCCCTCCCTGTAGCCCTCCCTCCCTGTACCCTCCCTGTAACCCTCCCTGTACCCCTCCCTGTAGCCCTCCCTGTAGCCCTCCCTGTAGCCCTCCCTGTAGCCCTCCCTGTAGCCCTCCCTGTAACCCTCCCTGTAGCCCTCCCTGTAGCCCTCCCTGTAGCCCTCCCTGTAGCCCTCCCTGTAACCCTCCCTGTAACCCTCCCTGTAACCCTCCCTGTAGCCCTCCCTGTAACCTTCCCTGTAGCCCTCCCTGTAGCCCTCCCTGTAACCCTCCCTGTAGCCCTCCCTGTAGCCCTCCCTGTAACCCTCCCTGTAGCCCACCCAGTAGCCCACCCTGTAACCCTCCCTGTAGCCCTCCCTGTAACCCTCTCCCTGTAGCCCTCACTGTAACCCTCCCTGTAACCTCACTGTAACCCTCCCTGTAGTAACCCTCCCTGTAGCCCTCACTGTAACCCTCCCTGTAACCCTCCCTGTAGCCCTCCCTGTAACCCTCCCTGTAACCCTCCCTGTAGCCCTCCCTGTAACCCTCCCTGTAGCCCTCCCTGTAGCCCTCACTGTAACCCTCCCTGTAACCCTCCCTGTAGCCCTCCTGTAACCCTCCCTGTAGCCCTCCCTGTAACCCTCCCTGTAGCCCTCCCTGTAACCCTCCCTGTAACCCTCCCTGTAGTCCTCCTGTAACCCTCCTGTAGCCCTCCCTGTAGCCCTCCCTGTAACCCTCCCTGTAGCCCTCCCTGTAGCCCTCCCTGTAGCCCTCCCTGTAACCCTCCCAGAGATGTAACAGACCTGGTCGTATCTCTGAGATACGAGACCGGGTCGTGAATACCACTCTGGCGAGTCAACTGTTAGCTTAAGGCTGACGCAGCCAAAAAAAACAAAAAACTGCCCATTAAGTGCCCCATTTCTCTGCCTAAATATTTACTGTTCCTCAAGACGCACCATTACTTCTCAATCATTCTCCTGACAGCTATTTAACTTTAATACTTAACCTTTAATTAATGTGACGCATGTCAGTGCAGGAATGTCGTTATTTCATCAATATTATAAGAGAATGTCTGTATGTTTGGTCGACGTTGGAAGCCACACGGTGAGGGCTGGCTTCACCCAAATTGGCAGAGGGAATGGTGTGAGGTATGGGATGAACATAGGCTGGTCGGGGTCGCCAGTATTCAAAAGAGAACGGCGTGTCGGGGCCACGTTCAGACCCCCACGACGGTTTTTGACACTGCCCGTCTGCTACATAGCTAAATATTTTCAAAACAAAATTTTAAGACAGTATTTTTTTCTTATAGTAATATGCACCATTCTTCACTGATCTCGGGAAAATTAACAGAAATTTGCTGATGGATGAATGGATGGATACACGGATATATATGAATGTATGGCTGAATATATGGGTATATGGATGTATAGAAGATACAGACATTGATAGATGGATAGACTGATAGATGGATAGATGCATGGATAGATAGATCCATGGATGAATGGGTCATTAAACACAACATCATTGTGACTATTGTTATCTTTCTTTGGGGATATTTTCCGTGTACACAAATATCTTGTAGCACGGGGAGGGTGAAGGAGCACCCGGTCACTTATCTTGTAGCACGGGGAGGGTGAAGGAGCACCCGGTCACTTATCTTGTAGCACGGGGAGGGTGAAGGAGCACCCGGTCACCCGGTTATCTTGTAGCACGGGGAGGGTGAAGGAGCACCCGGTCACTTATCTTGTAGCACGGGGAGGGTGAAGGAGCACCCGGTCACTTATCTTGTAGCACGGGGAGGGTGAAGGAGCACCCGGTCACTTATCTTGTAGCACGGGGAGGGTGAAGGAGCACCCGGTCACTTATCTTGTAGCACGGGGAGGGTGAAGGAGCACCCGGTCACTTATCTTGTAGCACGGGGAGGGTGAAGGAGCACCCGGTCACTTATCTTGTAGCACGGGGAGGGTGAAGGAGCACCCGGTCACTTATCTTGTAGCACGGGGAGGGTGAAGGAGCACCCGGTCACTTATCTTGTAGCACGGGGAGGGTGAAGGAGCACCCGGTCACTTATCTTGTAGCACGGGGAGGGTGAAGGAGCACCCGGTCACTTATCTTGTAGCACGGGGAGGGTGAAGGAGCACCCGGTCACTTATCTTGTAGCACGGGGAGGGTGAAGGAGCACCCGGTCACTTATCTTGTAGCACGGGGAGGGTGAAGGAGCACCCGGTCACTTATCTTGTAGCACGGGGAGGGTGAAGGAGCACCCGGTCACTTATCTTGTAGCACGGGGAGGGTGAAGGAGCACCCGGTCACTTATCTTGTAGCACGGGGAGGGTGAAGGAGCACCCGGTCACTTATCTTGTAGCACGGGGAGGGTGAAGGAGCACCCGGTCACTTATCTTGTAGCACGGGGAGGGTGAAGGAGCACCCGGTCACTTATCTTGTAGCACGGGGAGGGTGAAGGAGCACCCGGTCACTTATCTTGTAGCACGGGGAGGGTGAAGGAGCACCCGGTCACTTATCTTGTAGCACGGGGAGGGTGAAGGAGCACCCGGTCACTTATCTTGTAGCACGGGGAGGGTGAAGGAGCACCCGGTCACTTATCTTGTAGCACGGGGAGGGTGAAGGAGCACCCGGTCACTTATCTTGTAGCACGGGGAGGGTGAAGGAGCACCCGGTCACTTATCTTGTAGCACGGGGAGGGTGAAGGAGCACCCGGTCACTTATCTTGTAGCACGGGGAGGGTGAAGGAGCACCCGGTCACTTATCTTGTAGCCCACTGTTATTGTTCCATTAAGGAGCACCCGGTCCTTATCTTGTAGCACGGGGAGGGTGAAGGAGCACCCGGTTCCATTACTCTTCCTTATCTTGTAGCACGGGGAGGGTGTTATTGTTCCATTACTCTTCCTATTGTTATTGTTCCATTACTCTTCCCACTGTTATTGTTCCATTACTCTTCCTATTGTTATTGTTCCATTACTCTTCCCACTGTTATTGTTCCATTACTCTTCCCATTGTTATTGTTCCATTACTCTTCCCACTGTTATTGTTCCATTACTCTTCCCACTGTTATTGTT